CTTTGTCAGATGTAAGCATTGTACATATGATGATAATCTTCACGGAAACAGAGTACATTAGCGTAAGCAATATAAACGGTAACAAGAAAATTTTACATAAGAATACATCTTACAATTTATTTTTAATATATATATGAGAAAGTGATGTCAATTAGTACTGCTACATATATTGACATTTGGTGGTGGCAAACAACCTACCCTACCTAGATCCTTCAAGCACTTGTAGTTTAACGACTTTAGTTACATATTGTGGGCGACATGTACAAAAAGGTCGCACTATCAGCGCAGGTTAAGTCAGTTTCGCTTGATGTAAAAGCTCTGCAGCTGTATTAAGACCTGTAGCTGGATGTCTTTGATCGCAGGTTTGCAAAGAAACTGGGACACGGTGCTACCTTGCTGCATAACATAGGTAATAAGGAATAGCATGGAAACTTTACCGTAGGTTCTCCCCCAACCGGTAATATAAAGAAATAGTGCCCAAAGTATGGCGGTTAACATTCCCATGGATTTAGCCTTTGCCAAGCCTTACCATAGAAAGATTGGCATACTGGATCAAATGCGGTCTAATCTTTAAACGCACGCTGTGCATTCCTACACAATAATTGCAAAACATCATTAAACAAGTAGAATTTGTTAGTCATCCAGTTTGAATTAAAACAAGCCACCAATTTCTTGACGCATCCAGGTACCAACTACTTGCGATGCGAAAGCATAAACCGACCTATTATGTAACATTCCACCTGAGTTTTAATTAGTTTTTACATCTACTTACCTACCGCCTTACATTTTTCTTACATTTAATCAAAAGCGGCTATCATGTTAGCTATAGGTTTAAATATTGTAGAAGAGACAGTAAACAGATAAATGTTCTCTAAAGCGTTAAGCTAAATGTTTGCAATATCTGAAAACAGTAATTTTTTTTAAAGTTATATATTTGCCGTGGATTCAGTAAAAAGATTGTTATTTAAGATAGTTATATTTCTTTGCAAAAGCAAATATGAACAACCAGTAAAATTTCCAGATTAATATAGACAGCCGCATAAATATGAAACGGTTTGGTTCTATTACTATTTTACCTAAAGCACTTAAGAGGATTGGACTAGCAGGCGCTTGCATATTTTACTGTCTTGTCAATGTTCTCTTACTACCAGAAAATTGTATATATTATGTAATCTGGGACCATAAATATCGAAAGACTAATGCCGATACCATAGACAACACAGTCGATGACTACCTGTATGACGAGATAAGATTGCTCGCAGCAACATTGTTAACAATGACAACTCAAATGCTTTTACTGAAGTAAATGTCCAGGCTAAGGTGACTGGAGAATACTTTACGGTTGCTAAAGTCACATCTTCATCGACTTACATCATATGGGTTACTTTGCTAATAGGAAGACAACAAAGTACACAACTTCCAAAGTCTGGTGCATATCTTACGCCGCTGAAATGTTTTTCTTAAATTAAATAATTGATGGTCACTTTCCCAACTACAGAAAGACAAGACGTTAGCACTGCTGGCATGGTATTTACCAATTTAGCTGTAGTCTAATGTATGATACATCGGCCGAACGGACACATTATTTAAATTTAGATAAATGAAACGTGTCACAAATGGCTGCAAGGGGAAATTGCCCAGTCTTTAATATCTCGTATCACGTAAGCAACGGGCTTCATCCATAGGCAAGCAAATACTAACCCATGCAATCTCTTTGTTCCTGCTACAATGTTCAAAACCATGCTGAGGTTTGCTAACAATGGTTTCTACAAGCAGCTGATGGTCTCGCAATCAGCAGAATCAAGCAGCACGTTAAGTGCAAAAACAGCTACAGGAATCTTTACAAGCCCTAGTCTCTCCTAAGCGTAGGGGTATCATATATGTCCTTCACCCTTGTCTCTACATCGTTTCGAGCACACCCTACTTGTAGTATAATATATTTGCTGTTATTAAATTAGGACTGAAAGACAACATAATGTTAACCAATATTAGGGTTCCTCTTCACACTTCGCATAAATACCCACATAATTCACGCTTGCATATTAATTTCAACAAGCAAATGAATAAAGCAGGCTAGTAGTTGTCTAGTTTTTAAAACTAACTTAGTTGATCCAACGTACTAGCAAACCGCATTTTTAAGAGACATCACAAATAATGTATGGCAAAACATCGGCAAAAACAGTCAGCAGCGTTCATTAACTTGCGGAGAAGGCATGTACAACATACTATCAGATAACAAAAGCGCTTTACATTTTTGGTTTTCATAGAAGCTTTTCTGTGTATCTTACCAGTTTTATTGCGGCTCAATCTTTAATGTAACCAGCTTACGTACGGCTAATATGTAGTGCTGATGGTGGTGATGAATCTATAAGTCTACAGCAAGCAGTTTTATGGTTGACCAAATTTCTTACAAGTTTATCTCAGTGGAACGGGTAAATCCAAAATAATGGTCATGTAGCGGCTGCAAATCACTCTATGTTCTGACGGAGAGAAATAATTAGTTTTAAACTATTTAGGAATAAAGGTCCGATATGTCAACAATGCTATATAAACTTAGACACCATATTTAGGCACATTACGATGTTCCTTTCTATTTGCTTTCTTGTCTGTTGTTGATCGAAAGCACGGCTAGCCGTCCATCTCTATAAAGTGGGAATGCATAATGCTTCTGTCTGCAATAGTAGTTGTAAGATAAATATTCTTTATAGTTTTCTTGCTGTTTGTGAAAAGCGCATTAACGTATGAAATTTTCGTGTGTTGAGGGTGCTTGGACTCATTTTTACTCCAACATGATGTCACTAATCAACCAGGTTGTTTCTATTTCTAAAAGTAGTGGTATAACAAGACGTCCACCTTGGATTGACAAACAGTTGAGGTATCTGATGAACAAAAGGCGCAAACCATGGGATCCATTCAAGTGTACACAATCGACGGCCGACTACTTGGCATACAAAACTTTTAGGAACCTTTGTATCCTGAAGAAGCGGGTGAATCACCAAAACTACGAATTTCAATTGGCTGTGCAGTCCAGTTGCTCACCTAAAACGTTCTTCTTATATCTGAAAAGGGGTACCGAAGGTGGTAATGGCATTCAATCTCTGTATTCCAGTAAACATGTCGCCTTACTTTAGGAGGATGCTGCGAAAGCGGATCTCTTAGCTCAACAGTATTCATCCGTTTTTACAAATAAAACCCCGTTTTTGACGTGGTACTTCCTTGCTCATCCTTGCTGGAGCATCTTGAGATCAGTACGGAAACTGTTACTCGATTCCTCCTCCAATTAGATCCGAACACCTCGCCTGGTTTTGGTAGTCTGCACCTACAGTTTCTCAAGACCTTGGCTAAGTACATTGCAGGTCCCAGCTTGTCATGTGTTTCGTTGCTCTATTGGATCCGGGGGCCTTCCATCAGCCTGGAATCTGGGCGTTGTCAAGCCCATATTTAAAGGAGGGAACCACCAAGATCCAGCGAACTATCGTCCCGTTTGCCTAATATCAGTAATGTGTAAAATTATGGAACGGATGCTCAAGGGTGCTCTCAGCCTTTACTTTGACGACCAAAGTGCGATTTCTACTGCTCAGCATGGCTTTCGTAACTTACGCTCGTATACCACCTGTTTGTTAGTCGCCAGATAGAAATAGGCAACTCACTGGATGCGGGCAAACGTATGGACGTTTTCTATGTTGATTTCAGCAAAAGCGTTTGACAAAGTTCCTCGCAAGCGGCTTTTTTTCAAACGTCAAGCAATTGGTGTCTCTGGGAAAGTTTTGTCGTGGATATCGGATTTCCTTTCAGACCAAGTTTTGTGAGTTAATTTCAATGATACTTATTCATCCCCCGTCCTTATCAGCAGTGGCATTCCTCAGGGCTCTGTTCTTGGACTATAGTTGTTCAAATCCTTCATTAACGACCTTCCTGCAACTCTCCGAACCGCATGCTTCATCTATGCTGAAGATGTGAAGTTATGGATAGAGATAACCAGCGCTGAGGATGCTGACCGCCTTCAACATACACTGGATCGGCTGCGCGATTGGTCACTTAAATGGCAGTTGCCTATGCATCGCGATAAATGTTCTGTACTCCCCAACGGTGCTACTGAACCATTCGGTGTTTACCACCTTGGTGGTTATTTGCTTAACAATGTGAAACAGGAAGGTGACCTCGGTGTTATTGCATGCTGTGATCTAAAAAACCACCCAAGATACTTTGAAGAAGGTTGCTGCGGCTAACAGACTACTGTGTTCTATCCGAAGAGCCTTCTCACGATTGACGCCGGAGATCTTCATACTTATCTTTTCCTCCCATGTGCGTCCAATCCTCGAATATGGATTACCCGCAATTCATCCACTTACAAAGCTTGAACATGGCTTGATTGAAAAAGTTCAACGACGCGGTTCTAAGTACATCTGAGTTCGGACACCTGCCAAATCACATCCGTCTCTAGCATTTGAATATGTTCTTCCTGGGATATCGGCGTCGCCGAAGCGATCTGATCTACGCTCGGCTCATTCTGCGAGGCGAGATGGGAAATGAGCTTCAAGGTTTCTTCCAGATGAACACTGTGTTCGACTCGGGGTCACTGCTGGAAACTGTTTAAACCTAGGAGACTTGGTCTTTGCTCTGATTTTACATTATCGACTCGTGTGGTGAACGACTGGAACTGCTTGCCTAATTCCGTCGTCAACGCGCATACAAAGGAATGTTTTAAACGATGGTTGGATTTATACTTCTTGCATTTTCAGGGATCTTGTTTTTTCTTATGTAACTGTGACAATCTAACTTGTTAATTGTCGTTGCGCAAACACCTGCTATGATTGGGAGGTGATGGAGCTGATAAAGCTCGTTCCTTCGGCTTTCTACATTACAATGATCACAATGACAAAACCTACAAACGCGAACTTCTATAGTAGTGTCATGAAATACTTTAAAATAAATTCGAAAGCAATCAACGTTTACTAATTATTATCTATAAAAATAAAACCTTTCCATATGTTACTCACAGATCAAGGATAATAACTACGGTGTCCTCGCAATAAAACATTTCATGTAGCTTGACAATGTTCTCGTGTTGTAGGTTGGCTAGTATATTGGCTTCTCTGTCTATATCAACAAGCACCGTGCCACGATTTTGACCACCTAATGTAGAAGTGGCCAAACGCTGCTTCATAATAAATTTTGCAGCGAATTCCTTTCTTGATCTCTTGTGAATGCACTGATGAACCACTGCAAAATGCCCCCTGCAGCTTGCATTAATAACAGTGCATGTTTACTCTCCAATTTTTTCCCCAATCTCATACTCATCGTCCAAAGAGTTCGTGTTTACATGTGCTTTCTAAAATAACAAAAGATATATGGCTTTCAATGGCTTACTTTGAGTAATCCGACCATTGTATCCACAATCCTCAGGTTAAATAAGTCGACATCGTATTAACCTATACAAAAAGCGCGCTGCGTTAGTTCATTCATTTTACCTACACGAAATTAGATATAAAAACGAAACTACATATAACATAAATTTTTCCTAGATATACAACAAACTAGTTGTGTAAGGTAAATATGAGTAGTTTGTTTTGCATTACGGTTTACTGCTGACTTTGTCTCGGAATGACAGCAAAAGTTTTGTTTATTCTTAACACGTGGGTTATTGTCAATCCCCTGAGGCGAAACATGCTTGTAACGATCTGCACATCCAAGTGTGGCTGACGGAAATGGGTAAAATACGCTAAAAAATAGTTTCACCATGCACTAAATACTGTGGAAAGCTTACCCATTAGAACATCGTCCATCTAACTTCGTGTCAACCAGAAGGCTCGCACTTCGCAGCCTACCGGTTTTTCGTCTCAGGGTGTGCTACCGACGTCTACAGTGACGACTATTAGAGGCTAAATAGCTAAACCCTTTGCCGTGCTCTTCAGTTGGCGTGAATGTACGTTCCGACGCTAAAAGTACCTCACACCCATTTAATCGTCTTTTTGCGACATTTACCTAAGGAGTGTCGAAGTTGGATGGAGAGTGAATGATCGACCGCAATATAGGTCATAACATAGCAGCTTCACTTCTTGTGGGCCAGTAAGCAAGCCAAAGACCCCAGTATTTCGAGTAACACAAGTACGAAGCGTATCAGTGTGTTAAAGAACATGCAGTCTGATAAATTAGACTGGATTTCCCCGGTAATTATTTTAGTGATGGCATTTCAAACGCAATAGGTCAGCTCAATATAATGGCAACTGTTAGATTGAATAATTGTTGGGTAGCTGCAACCAAGTATTCCTACATAGTTCATTCCAAACCTGTTTGTATTGATAATTTCGTATCTTATTTAATGCGGGGAATGTAGAAGCCAAGTGGTTAAGTGACTAAAAGATACCAGGGTATTTGTTGCAAGCATACTAACTTTTACGAATTTTCCGTGTTATGGATAGTAGCCGTGAGGTAAATATATGTGGATTAGTAATATGGGGTTAATCAGTACCAACGCCGTTGGAATTGTCCATAATTTACTGCTGCTCCAATTTGAACATCCATATTTACCGTTTTGCAAGCTAGGACCTATCAGCGTTGTAGTTTAATTAGTATTTCAAAAAGGGCAAGAGCAATAGCAGTAGCCCAGGGTTGTTCCTTTTCTAAGTGTGTTGTTAGTCTAGAATAAAATTTTGCACAGCCACGTTTCCTTTGAATTTGAAACGGTCGGTACGTATCATCCCACTGCGGATTCCCTGAACTATAAGCCCCTAATTTGATCGTCAGTGGAGCTAGCAGCAAAGTGGAATGCAATAAAACAGAATTAATATATTAAGTAGGAAATCTAAGCATTGATATTCACCTGATGGGAAATACACGCAGCTCAAATCCAGGCACTCTATATAGTTGCTTCAGCCTCCTTAAACAAATAAAAGTTTAACTCAAGTTAAATAAATAAATAAATAAATAGTATATTCTCTGTAAGGTCCTAAACACACTACGATAGGCATGAAAATAATTATACGGGCGTAGATGTTTGTCAAACACACGAGTCACTGAAACGCCTGGGAAATTTGTGCGCTACACAAGGCGAAGTGCGGAACCAAATGAGAAACCCAGATTTTGTGTTAAACAGGAACAAAGTGTGCGGCACACAGTTGCAAAAAGTGGCGTCCGTGCGCGAAGTGATGCAGGCAGCAGTAAAGTCAATTGTGAATAGCTATCCATGGTGGAGATAGGTTTCGTTCCCAGGAAACTTTTAAACCATTATATAGTCTCTCATTGAGTTTCTATTATCAGTATGCCCATTCTTGAATAGTTTCGAATAACTTCATTATCCAACGTGTGGATTATTGTCACCACCCGAGGAGTCCAGTGCTCGTGGGTTTCAATAAATCGCAGTACATAAATAAATAAAACTTATTTTCTTGACAAGACGAGGTACGCCTTTATAGGCATGAGCAGTTTGACATAACAAAGCGTGAACAAGTAGGTGCCATAATGCGGTATTTTTCTAATGCAGTGCATGCTTGTGCGGCGGGGTAGGTAAGTATGTATTGTGTGTAAGTAGCTGTGTAGTTTGTGCGGCTCTGTGCTAGAATGTTGTATAGCGGGAGACTTTAACGTGCATGATATATAAACACAGGCAACCGAAGGTATGCAGTTAAAGTCTGCCTGCAAGAGCTTATTGCTAGCCACCCTCTTTACAAGCACGTAACCTCTCTCACCAGATTTCCAACTTCTAACAAGCCGTCGATACTGAATCTTATGCTCACTGACGAAGAACTAATGGTTGATGGGATAGTTACAAGCACACCACTGGGTCGTAGTGAGCATCTTACCCTACTCTTTGACGATATATTCTATGCGGAGTACCCTGAAAATGAGGAGGATAAAGTGCATACTCTCACACACTACAATGTGTTTTCTATGCTTTTTAAGGATACATCTTGGGCTTTCTTAACCGAACGCCCCCAGGTGTTGCCTGGGAAACGTTTACAATGACGTTTAGTACACTGGTAGCGCACGCATCAGAGCAGAATTCCTTCCAACCCAAAAACAAGCGTAATTTATTGCTTAGGAGCAGAACACGTAAATGTATGTCCCGGAGGGATTTGGTATGGCGCGATCACCAGGACTGCCCGAATGCCGAAACCTGGACTGCATACGTGACACATCGTAACTTCTATGTGTAACTGATCCGCGAAGACAAGGTCACTCATCAGCGGGGGTTAATGAAGCGATTCTGCACGAACCGCAAACTCCTGTACAGGCACGTTAACGGCCCTCGAAAGGCTAAGCGTATGGTTCCAGCACTTGTCACGGCTAATGGGTTCACGCGATCAGGAATGGAAGCAGCTGACCTCCTACAGCTTTATTACCCTCAGGCTTTCTAGCAGGTAACGAGCACAAACACTCTCCGCATTTCTAATGCTCACCCATCTGGTTTAGAATACATCACCTTCACTGCGGAAGCTGTGTTGAAGAAATTTTTATCCTTGCGTATCCACAGTTCTCCAGGAGCTGACAACCTCCGACCAAAGGCTCTATAGGCGGTAGCTAGTGATCTAGCAGCACCACTGGCTGTTTTCTATCAGCGATGTCTAGAGAAGAACCGTATTCCACCCGTATGGAAGCGAGGGACCATCACTCCTATCCATAAAGGAGGTAGCCGCACTTATCCTGCCAACTACCATCCAATAACAATACTTCCGGTAATATCCAAAGTGATGGAATCAACCATAGCAGATGCGCTAATGGAATACTTGGAAAGCCACAATTTAATAGCCCCAGCGCAACCTGGCTTGCGGCAAGGGCATTCGTGTATTACTAACCTATTAATTGCACTTACTAGCTGGACTGAAGCTGTTGATAATGGAATGGGTGTCGATGCCATCCACCTATCCTTTTCAAAGCGCTTGGTGGCTTAAACCGTCGCATTCTCCTTCAGAAGCTTCAAAATTACGGCGCCGGCGACCTACTCCCGAGTTGGATTGACCATTTTCTATAAGAACGACGGCTAGTGGTTAGAGTCTGAGAATCATTTTCTCATGCAATCGATGTGGCGTGTGGAGTACCACAAGGCTCGGTGCTTGGACCTCGTCTATTCTTGGTGTTCATTAACGATTTGGCAAAGTCAGTTACTGCCGATTTCTTATTGTTTGCTGATGTTATCACAATATCGCGAAGGATCAGAGGACCGGACAGCCACGAACGGCTCCAGTGCGATCTTAACACAGTGCCGAACTAGTCAGTTCAAAACGCCCTACCGTTCAACGTAGACAAATGTCGCGTTGTACAATTACGCCATAGACATAACTACAGGTATTCACTTGGGATAAACGGATTGCAGAATAGCTCACAGGAACTTGACCTTGGTGTGCTCGTACAGAGCGACCTCAACTGTTCAAAACAGGCTGAGGTAGCTGCCAAAAGAGGCAACAAGCACGTCGGCATGCTGCGAAGGGCATTCGGGAGATTTGACCCATCAATCTTCCCAATGATGCACAATTCCTACGTGCGCCCGCATGTTGAGTACGCAATCCAAGCTTGGCAACCTTGGTTGAAACGCGACCTAGAACCGGTAGAGGCACCACAACGGAGAGCAACAAAGAACGTGAAGGGCCTGCGGTATCAATCTTACCACCGAAGGCTGAAGTTGCTGGGGATTTTCAGCGGACGTTATCGAAGGCTGCACGGCGATCTCATATTAGCGTAGCAGATATTGAGTGACCCCAACCACGTATGCCGCCATTTGCTGAAACTTAGCCACAACACGCAGCTTAGGTGTAACTGCTTAAAAATGAAGGAACAATATAGCCGTCTAGAGTGTCGACTGAATTACTTTTTCCTTCGGGTTTGTAAACCCTGGAACGCACTCCCAGACTCAGTTGTATCCTCTCCCAATTTGGATGTTTTCAAAAACGAGTAGATGTTGCTCTTAGCTCTCAAAAATTTGTTACCTAAACTCCCCTAATCTGGATTACGCTGAGCATGCGTTTCAACCGGATTTATGTAACAAATGGACCTAAGTGAGCGACCATATTTTACTTCTCTCACGTCTTATCTCAACGAGCACTGCGCCCCAGTGTCTTTCTGAACGTTTACGCTCGATAATTTTTTTAATTTTACGCTGCTGTTACTTATCAAACTATTCATCTCGACAGACGTTCGACAGTTGACCCAGACACATGGTGATTTAATCATATTCACCGCAACCAACCTACGGGACGAGTTATGCACTTGATTTTATCCCTGATAAATCATTGTTCATATCGTTAGCAGTGGGTGGGCAAAAGCTTGGTGTCCGTGGGTTGAGAGGGCTTATCCGGATATCCACGCCGCAGTGACTTTATTTTGTGGCGATTCAAGACCGCAACACCACAGCGTCGTTAAGTAGACATTTGTGGCTTATTGTAGATGGAACGATTGCCAGGCGAAAACCCACCACGTCCTGGAACACTGCCGCAGAGCTATATGCTAGGGTGG